CATTTCTCTGACTGCTAGAGATGGTGAGCATTTTTTCATGTACTTGTTGATTGATTGTATATCCTCCTCTGAGAAGTGTCTGTTCAGGTCCTTGGCCCATTTGTTGATTGGGTTATTTGTTATCTTATTGTCTAATTTTTTGAGTTCTTTGTATACTCTGGATATTAGGGCTCTAGAGCTAGATAACTTTTTATTGCCACGAAGGTGATAGGAATTTAGCCCTCCTCTTATTTTCCCATTACATTCATATGAAAAAAAAATAGAAAGAAGCATTAATCATTTTCATCTAAAGGAGTTAGCAACCTAGATAATTAACCAAGAGAAATGGAAATATGTGGCTACACAAAACCTTGTACATGGCTGTTCATACAAGTATTCACCATAGCCAAAAGGAAGAGGTATTCCAATGTCCATCAGCTTGCAAATGGATAAGCAATATCTGGTGTATCTATACAATGAAATAGCATACCTCAAAAAAGGGATGGAAAATTGATAATATAACACAACAGGAATGACTCTTGAAAACATTATGCTAAGGTAGAGCCAGACACAATGGCCTCCTATCATGATTCCATTTACATGAAATGTGCAAAGTACAGAAAATCCATAGAGACAAAGCTTAGTAGTGTTTGTCTTGGGCTGGGAGTTGAGGGGAACAGAGGAATGATTGCACACGGTACAGGGTTCTTTTGGGGATGATGAAAATGTTCTGGAATTAGATGGTGGAGGTGGTTGTGCAACTTAACAAAAATCACTAAATTGTGTAATTTAAACRGATGAAAACTGACATTTGAAGCATATCATTTTTTCAAAAGTTAATGAAAAGCAACTTTCTACTTGATCTCTTTATGTTTGAGGACAGCAAAAGGGCATGTTTGGTTCAACTGCACCTTTAGCCTCTAGGTCACCACTGGTCCACATTCTGCAGGTTGCTGGCTCTGAGCCTCCCYTCTCTGATCCTCATTAGAGCATCACAGTTTGCACTGGCCTCTTTGGGGCCCATTTCAGCATGCCCACATTCCTGTTCACCACCAGAATCCCAGCACTGTCTCCAAGGCTAATCCTTGTGTGACTCTCACACCCCACAACCACTTCTTTTCTTCATGTGCTTACCGTCTCTTATTCATATCCCTCCAAATTTTGGTTTTGCTCATTGCTTTTACTGCAAGCAGTAGATGATCAATAAATTTCTGAGGGGTAAATGAATTTAGAAAACAAGCTCACATAGAAATATATATGTGCATTATTTAAAAGACAAAATTTTGTGATTCAAAATGTTTTTCTGGGGCTGGGGGTGTAGCTCAGTGGTAAAGTGTGTGCTCAGCATGCATAGGACCCTGGGTTCAATCCCCAGCATCCCCCCGAAATTTTATATATATACATTGTACATTATATATACAATATATATATATACATATTATACATTATATACCTATATGTACATATATCTAAATATGTGCATGTATTATATATATGAGTTTTTCTCCCATAAAAATGTTCTCTTCCATTTAAATATACAGCTAATTTTTGAGATATCTTGTACAAATGACATTTTATTACAGATAATAATATAATTTACAAATCTTTATACATTCAAGGAAAACATTCTGGCATCATAAACATAAAAATTCAATATGTAATATTCAAATTTACAACAATAAACCAAAAAACTTATTTTTGTACTATGTAGTTATTGCTGCACTACCTTTAATTCCTTATCCAGAATCCAAAGAAAGTAGGTAAACCCTAAAAATGTAGCAGAAGCATTTCCGCACACTGGTATCCATAATCTAGTTTGTGCAGAAATGTTTCCACTAGATTCATAGAGTACTCTTTGGGAGGAAGAAGCACGGACCAGTCATTTGGTTGCCCTTCGGACCTTCTGCAACTCTTCAATAGGCTTCCACTGTTGATTGATTGTTATAAGCTTTAACAAAGGAAATAAAAATGTTTTAAGTATCTGCTCTTAATCCTCTCATCACTTTTTGGGATTTGTTCCTTTTAGGAAAAGCAGCATTATAGTATTTGTAGTCAAAGAACCACCTCTTCCCATCTCTAAAACATGCACCAAATAGTAACATGGTTGATATCTATTCACTCCATCCCTCCAAAAAGCCCTTGGATACCTACATGCTATGAGACCARAGAGAAAGGTCATACACATTTGCCCTACTTTCATTAGCACCATCCAGATTTTTTAGCTTGACAAGGTAGTATCTGAGCTTAAAGTTCAAAATGCATCTGTTCCTCCTGAGTTATGTACAATGCTCCTCCCACAKGCCTCAACACATAGTAGGTGTTGAATAAAATTTCCTCATTGCAATTGCTCAATGAAGGCACCAATGATCTAAGAGCTGTGGACAGTTCTTGGTTTCCCAAAACATCACATTTATCCTCACAGGAGACCCATTTATCCTCACCAGTGTTCCATTACCCAAGAACCTAGGAGAGCTTTGCCATAGTCTTAAAAGAGTGGATAATTAATTAATTTCACTTGAGGAGAATGTGCTCCTTTCTTTCAGGAGTAACTGTGATTTATCACAATAGAATTTATATTAACTTTAGGTGAGTAATGGATAAAATGAGATAATGTATTGCAATAATGTTTTATTTGAGTGCTTACTGTGGGCTAGGCAAGTCTAAAAAGGCTCTACATATTTTATTTTCTTTAATCCTTTTAACTCTGAGGTCGAGCCCTACTATCATGCCCATTTTATGGATTCTGAGCCTCACAGAAGCCAAACTGTCCAAAATCACCTATGAATAATGGAGCACAGATTTGAATTTGATCTCTAGAACTCTAGAGGGTTTTGTTTGTTTTAGTATTGTCTTTAACACTACATAAAATGGCACTCTGTTAGCTACTACATCTATTTTGCTTACAAAGGTGTGAAAGTTTGAGCTAAATGTAAATCACTTGTTTTTAATTTAGTGATACCTTTTGAGGTTCAGAGGGATCCACAGCTTCCCACGGTTCTGGATTTCTTTTTCGATCAAGACTAAAAATAAAAGAAGTTTAATTAAACGTCAAAGTATGTGAATCTAAACCAGCATTGATTCTGGGTGTGCAAATAAGCTAGATGACAGACCCGATCTCCACACTTAGACATTCATCCCTTAGTTAACTACTAGAAACCATCAAGAGTACTAAAATTGATGGAAGATTCATTAAGGGAATTTCATGGTTTGGCTTAAACATTAAAGATCAATTCCTCTGCAGAGTAGAAGGTCTGTATTTTCTTTCTTGGTCTAGATTGCAGAACATTCCCAACAAACAACATAACTACTGAGGTGGATTTGCTCACTAAGGACAAGCAACAAGGTTCTTGCCCGATTTTCTGGGAGTGGCCAAGGGGTGGGACTTGAACTCCGTGGGTGGTAACTCCAGGGTTCCTGGGCTCCCCTAAGTGACCTCTCCAGCCCTGCAGAGGACACAGCCAGGTCCTCCTTTTATCTCTTCCTCATATTCCAGGAGACATGTTTGTTTGTTGTTGTTTGTTTGTTTTAAACCTTCTTGTATTCAAAGTTGAGGTTTAGGATTAACTGTAGACAACTGAATGTATGGATTCTGTAACACTTAAGTCTTAAAGACTTAAGTTGAAATTTTAAAAATTAAAATTATTAAATTTGATTATATACATAATATATGTATGTATGTGTGTGTGTATATATATATGTGTGTGTGTATATATATATGTGTGTGTGTATATATATATGTGTGTGTGTATATATATGTGTGTGTGTATATATATATGTGTGTGTGTGTGTGTATATATATATATATATATATATATATATATATATATATTCATTCCAATAACTTAAGAACTTTAAATTTAAAAACTAAAGGTTGAAAAAAATCAAATTTTGCTTCTCTGCAGGAGAGTGAAATTGGAGGAGGGCCAATGAATAAAAGGACATTTAGATACAGGAATAAATAAATACCAATGTCATAATTTCATAGTCTTCAGATATCAGGATGCTTTTCAGCCTTGACTCCAAGTCCACAATTTGACATTCTTATCCATGGGGGTAGGAGGGACACAGGAAACTGATGGCATGCATTTCAGAAATGAAAGGTCAACCAAACAATGCCAAAAATGTTTTTATAAATGAGACCTACTTACATCACGTCGGTTTTTTTCAAGGAATATATGGCAAAAGATGAGGCTCCTGCAGCTGCGAAAGTCATGAAAAACGCTAAAGGAATGAGCTAACAGACAACAGGTTATCAGTAACTTCAATAGGAAAACTCTGTAACAAAATTGCTACAAATCACTTTTGTTTTTCAAAATCTACACCACCTTTTCATCTTTAAAAATTACTACTTTCAGTCAAGTTTTTCTATTGCTTTTTTAAATTTGTTTTATTTAGTTACACATGACAGTACAATGATCTTGACATATCATACTAGTTTTTCTATTGCTTTAAAAACTTACTTCCTTCTTTTTCATCAAGGTTTGGAAAATTCCCATGATGACTTCAGTGTAGAATGCTAAATCTAGAAGAAGAAAAAAGGAAAAAAAAAAAAAATCCAAGATAATCTATCAAAACTTCAGCCACTAGGGCCCAACCTGGTGGGCACCAACCCATCCAACACGCTCAAAAGGCCAACCGCGGGCAGGCTCAGCAGCACCTTCCCCGAAAGGCGACTCACCTGGGGCGACACGGGGCACGCAGAAGATGCTAACGCCCAGAAACCAGCGGGTGCTGTATCCCGACCTTATATACTGACCACAACCGCTCCCGGAGGGCGGGGCTAGGACGTTCTGGTCACGCTAACGGCGGGGAACTTTCAGACCCGCTAGGGCGCTCGGTGCCCGACTCCCGGGCGCCCCCTGCAGGTACGGCGCGGTCAAAGGAGGGTGCCGGGCGGGCTATAGCTCACCAGGGTACTTAACTAAGGTGGTTAACAGCTCTGGGCCAACCCCAGACCCCCGCCTGCTACGGGTCCCGGAGGTTCACTGTGGGAGAGGGAAACCTAAGAGCCAAGGGAAGCGTTGATGGGGTCCAAACAAAGGAGAGCAGAGCTGGGGGGTCCCAGGGTTGTCCCTCCACCCAGAGTCCCATGGGAGACTCCCACGTGCAAGCGGATACCTTTAATGTGATTGAATTAATTAAAAGCTCCCAAATGTAATGCGGCGCACAAATAGAGATAATTGAAATTTATTTCAGAATAACTCCCATGGTGTCCTGTTTTTTCCATTAAAACAAAATATTAGGGTTAGGACTGTGGTTGTAGCTCTACTGTAGAGCGCTTGCCTAGCATGTGTGTGAGGCACGGGGTTGGATCCTCAGCACCACATAAAAAACAAATAAAGGTCTTGTGTCCATCTATAACTAAAAAAAAAGTCAGGCAGGGTTAAAGATGAAGAATAAAAAGAATCAACCCGAGATGGTCTGTTTCTGCAAACGACCACATTACCTGGCTTGTCTTTGGGTCCCATCTTTCCTAACWTGGCAACCTCACCTCCTCCCAATTCGCTTTGGAAATAATGGTATAAATTTCACTAAGCCAAGGGCCGTGTGCTAGACACTGAGTCTCACTCCTCTGACATTTTTGCAAGGTGGGTACTTATTAAGACTCAGAGATGTTCAAGTCACACAGCTTGTGAGTGGAGATGTAAGTCCACCAGAGAATGCAGATCTCTGGTGTCCCACACCTGCACTCTTTCTGCCCCACTCTTAGCTACATTAATTAAGAGCAGAAACTTGGGGGCTGGGRATGTGGCTCAGGCGGTAGCGCACTCGCCTGGCATGCGTGCGGCCCGGGTTCGATCCTCAGCACCACATACCAACAAAGATGTTGTGTCCGCCGAGAACTAAGAAATAAATATTAAAAATTCTCTCTCTCTCTCTCTCTCTCTCCTCTCTCACTCTCTCTTAAAAAAAAAAAAAGCAGAAACTTGACTATTTAAAAACAGTTTGAAATTAATCTGTAAGTTAAAGTTAAAAGGGAAACATCTTCATGTTCCCTGGGAATGTTCTATTTCAATCTATTTCAGCTGTATTTCAATCCCATCTTGATTAGAGATACAGGCTTTGCAGTAAAACAGACCTGAGTACACAGCTCACACCTGACTTTGAGTAAACTACTTAACTTTTATGAGTCTCAGTTTAAGTACCTGCAAAACCGGGACAAACTTAGAAGAGAGTGGCATAAATGTTAGAATGTTGGTAAAGCTTTCGGCGTTCTTCCCTAACTGCAATGGTCATTCAACGAATAGGTTTTGTTATTTGCAAAAAGATTTGTATTGAAGGGACCATAACCGTTATTTGTCAACCCTTGTATTTTGACAAGTGTTCTTATTGTGTAATCCCAGATCTGTAACCAAAGACATTTGCTAATTGGGTAGATCTACTCAAAAGACTTAAAAGAAAATTTGAAGTTGATTCTTCCTGGTTGTGTTATATAGAATTGGAGAAGTCTTTTAATGCTTCTCCTTAAGATTTCTAAGGCTACTTTTGTCAGAAGGTTCAGAAGAAGAAGAAAAAGCTTTGTTTTGTTAACAATRTTTTTCAAGGAAGAAAGGAATGAGGAAAGGAGGAAGCAAAGAGAAGAAGGGCGAGAAGGAGAAAGGAATAAAGGAAGGAGAGAAAAAGGGTCATAGGAAAGGGAGRGAGAGAGAAAGAGGAAGAAATATTATGGGAATGAATCATGACTGCCAAATTAAAATTAAAATGTGTAGCCCTTGATGATTTTAAACTCAGAGCCCCACTTTGCCAATATCACTTCTTTTCAAAATTTAGTGCTATGCCGTAGCAGGCTAGGCATTAGTATGGGGATTGGGGCACCATAGAACTTAAAAGACAAGATATAAGGTGCTCAAAACAAGTACCTCAAGGTGTTGACAAACTATGTTTGTAAGTAATTCTAACCCTAGGCATGATTTTGTATCAAATACAGGTGATTTATTCTGATTAATTCTGGGGAGTCTGAGAAAACTTTTCAAAGGTGGGGGTACATATTTGACAGTACAAACAGACAAACCAACTGCAAAAAGACATTTGGGGAGAAACTTAAATAGAGCACAGATAGGAGATACTATTAAAGGAATACAGATGCTCCTTAACTTACAATGGGTTACATGTGGATAAACCACAGGCCAAACATGTATCTAATACACCTAACCTACTGAACATCACAGCTTAGCAATACAGTACGCAGTAGAGAGGTTGATTCTTTGTCAGAAGGTTCAGAAAAAGAAGATGGAGATGGGGGGTACTGGCTGGGAGCTGCTGATGCTGCCCAGCATCATGTATCATACCACATATCAATCACATCTCAGAATAAGGATCAAAATTCAAAGTTCAAGGTAGTTTCTACTGAATGTATATCACTTTTGCACCATCATAAAGATAAAAAATCATGGATCAAACTGCTGTAAGTTAGGGACTGTCTGTATTGTGTATTGTGGATTGTTAGATGTGATAATGTCACAGGAAAGCAGGGAGCTGAAACTCCAAACCTTCCTTCTTATGTTCCTACAAAAGTCAGACACTAAAAGTCATGCAAGAGAACTTTATTAGAAGTGAAAGGGAGGTGAAAATAAAGTAAAAGAAAAGTGAGGCTTAAGCAAAAAGCACTCTCAAGGGAGAGAGTGGACAGTCTCCAAGCAGAGAATGACAAAGGAGACAATGCTTCCCAAATTTTATTACTGTTTGATGTTTACCAGGAGAATTGGGGACCACCTTCTGTACTCTTTGCCGATCAGGTGTTCAACTTCTACTTCAAGTTGGGTGGTGGAGTTTTTGACCTTAGTTGGTCCTCTCCGGAACTGTCATAGTGGCCATCCTATTTAGGGGGCTTCATTTACAAGTCAATCCCATGTTAATGTGGGCACTGAAGTCAATAGCTGGTCAGTTACCTTAGTGCACCTGCACTACTAAGGAATCTTCCTTTCCAGACAATTGGAGACATAGTCATGATTCCTCACTTCACATCGACCTCAGTGGATCCTTTCCTCTTGACATGATTTCGGTTTATTTTCTAAAAACTAACTGCCACCCTTTGCTTTCTTGTCTACTTTGGAAGTAGTTTAAAGACGGACCCCAAAGTAATTTAAAGAACACTTTGTGTCAGGTGCAGTGGCACACACCTGTAATTCCAGCTGCTTGGGAGGCTGAGGCAGGAGGAATTCAAAGCCAGCTTCAGCAAAAGTGAGGTGCTAAGCAATTCAGTGAGACCCTGACTCGAAATAAAATACGGAATAGGGTTGGGGATGTGGCTTAGTGATTGAGAGCCTCTGAGTTCAATCCCTGGTACCCACCCCTCCCTTCTCCCCAAAAAGAGAACACTTTATGATCTTACCATGCATTTCACTGCTCATTGCTAGCTACTACCTAACAATAATGGTATTACAGTTATGTTAAGAATCCCTCTTCTACCTTTTTAGAGATTGTAAATGGAAATATTTAAGGGATAAAACATCGTGATATATGAWATTTACTTTAAAATAATAATTAAACTAAAATCCAAATTCAGCAAAATATTAATCATTCAATATATGTAGTAGGTATCATTATACTATTTCATTTTTATGTTTGGAAATGTTCTGAATAAAACATTTTAAAAATTCAAACATTACTTAATAGTTACAGATGTGTGCCCATATTAACCTTAAGATCTGCTTATTTCTATTTGCAGCAATGAGAATTAAACCCAGAAAACCACACTTTTCCTCCCAACGCATTAATGACTAGGTGTATTAAACTTTTGGGAAATTCAAGGCTATATGTAATTTGTTTTGATCCATTTGGGACACTAACCAACATTACTCTTTGTAACTTCTCCAATGGCCTGTAATTCCTTAGGGAGCTTTGCCTCTCCACACTCAACTGCCAGAAACTTCTAGAACCTTTTCTAACTACCACCACCCAGATRTGGAGGCACATTGAGCCATATTGCTTAGTTCCCACAGAATTTGAACATAATCAGGCTAGCTCAGACATTATAAATAAAAATCATATATTCTATTATTAAAATTTTTTGTTGAAATTTTTTCTGTCCAACCGTGATAGATAGTGGACTATGTTAATCCTGACACCCATCCTTCAGAGTTTTKTTGTTGTTGTTTAGTTGTAGATGGACACAATATCTTTTGTTTATTTTTATGTAGTGCTGGGGATCAAATCCAGGGCCTCACACGTGCAAGGCAAGTGCTCTATCACTGAGCTACAATCCCAGCCTCCTTCTGCAAATCCAGAAGGGACACCAGGTTTATAATTCGTTACCAGGTCTATAATTCTGGATTTGTAGAAAGAGAGAGAGAAGGAAAAAAAAAGGGGGGGGTTGGGTTTCTGAAGGTGGTCTATATTTTATTTAAGGTGGACTATTAATGTGACCAGAAAGCAGTTTGAGCTTAGCACACAGAAAAAAAAAAAATGCACACTTCCCAGTATACCAGTGATAGGATGACAAGTTCCCATTTCCCATATGTTGAAGATTAGACACTCAAGAAATGCAGAGGCAAGCGTAGAAAGCAGAGTTTTATGTAAAGGAGAGATCAGAGATAGACTTCTCCAGAGCTGGGTATTCAAAGAAAGGGGGGCGGGAATGGGGTGTGTGTGTGTGTTCTGTCCCTTTTATATATTTTAGAGTTCTTTTGTTCTCATGCCCTCCTTTTCCTCTTGCTTCTCTCCTCTCCCCATCATGCTCATGTGACCAGTGGACAAAAGATGAGCCAAAAGGTGGGAAGGATGCCTTCTAAGGTTATCTCTCCATGTCTGCCCAGAAGGGCAGGAAAAGGGCCACCCAGGAGGTGCTTCCTTAACAACCTTTTCAGAGGAATAGTTCCCTGTAGGCAGGTAACCTTGGCAACAGCTTGAGGGGAGGAGGGGGAAGGGCTCTGGAGGCATTAGCATTTGATTCTTTCCCTTTGGAACCAGCCCCCATCTCCAGGTTGGACCCAATTATTTACACTGACTGTCTTTTTGCCCTGCCCCCACCAGAAGAGAGGTGCTTAGAAACTGAAATGTTAATTTCTTTACAGATTAAAATAYAGTTCTGGAAGTTTCCCAGAGCTATCCTCAAGTCTGATTAAAACTGAATCCAAAAAGATTCTTATCAGACTGTCATTTATTGGGCATTTCGATAAGAGCAGATATATGGTCATGGTTCTTGGGAGGCTTCCAAAGTTCAATTATGATATAATCAATAGTAAGGAATATTTTATTATAATTGTACTATAATGTACTACAATATTTCAGTTATAATATAATTACAATTTAAAGACATTTTCAAACAATTCAGCCTTGAACAAGTATGGTACTAAATCTCTAACTTGACTACTAGCAATTTTTTCAAGGAAGAAACAAGGAGCCCACAGTCAGATATCCAAATTGAGGTTCAGGCCAGGAAGGGTTTAACAGAACTTGTATGTATGGCAAAGGTTTAATGGTTGCCTTGTTCTATAAGATCAGTAGTCTGTAAGGAAACTGGATGCTGTGGTGTGGTGTGAGCCGGTAATTCCAGATACTGGGGAGGCTGAGACAGGAGGATTCCAAGTTCAAGGCCTATCTGGGCAATTTAGTGAGACTCTGTCTCAAAAAAAAAAAAACAGAAAGGGGGCTGGGGATGTGGCTCAAGCGGTAATGCGCTCGCCTGGCATGTGAGGGGCACTGGGTTCAATCCTCAGTACCACATAAAAATAAAATAAAGATGTTGTGTCCGCTGAAAAATAAATATTAAAAATTTCTTTAAAAAAAAAAACAGAAAGAGCTCGGGATATGACTCATTAGCAGACTACCCCAGGATTAGGTCTCAGTATTGAAAAACAAAACCAAAAACAACAATCAGTAAGGAATATAGTCAGAATTCTAGTAAGTTTTAAGGATTCTCCTAATACTCAAAAGTGAAGGTCAAAATAATTTTAATTGAATTATATTGTATACTTATAAGCCACATGATTCTTTCCCGTTCCTGATAATCCTGTTTCCAATCAGAAACAGGAAACTTTTCAACAACTGCTTACTATTTATGATTTCATATATTTCAAGCACTGTGTTGTCATTGTGTCCTATTATTTCTGTGGCACTTCCCACCACTCTAATGAACTAACTTATCTGATGTGTCTGGGCTGTCAGTGCCATGTTTGCTTTGTTCACTTTACATCCCAGTACTGAGCACTGCACCTTGTGACTCAAGAATGGGCCAAGTGAGATGTTTATCAGATATCCTTCAGTGAGAGAAACAAGAGTTTTACAGTATCATTATTTCTAAAAATTAAAAAAAAAATCTATACACGAAGGAATYGATGGAAGATTAAATACCAAAGTATTTTCTCATGTTTGTGTTTTCTAATATCCTTAATTACTTCTGTAATAAAGGAAAATAAAAATGTATGTGTAGGGAYTAGAGTTGTGGCTCAGTGGTAGGGTGCTCACCTAGCATGTGCGAGACACTGGGTTTGATCCTCAGTACCACATAAAAATAAATAAAATAAAGGTATTGTGTTCAACAGCAGCTCAAAAAAATATTTAAAATTTTTGTATTGTATGTGCAATCATACAATATAAAAATATTGTATTGCAATCTATCTCCTTAAATATTACTTATAATTACAAAAGGAAAACAGTAGGTATAGAGAAACCATAAACAAGTGAACAAAACTTAGTGCAATAGTATATAGATAACACACATCTCCAGCTGTGGTACTAAGAGCACAATGCTACTCATGAGTGTTCCATTGGTGATATATAACCTAAATTTATCATAACAAAACACTGGACAACTCAAATCCATAGACCAATTGTTCTATAAAATAATTGGTCTCTACTCTTCAAAAATGTCAAAGATAAGAAAGACTGAAGAACTGTCTAGAGACATGAAAACTAAAATGTGTGATCCTAAACTGGATGCTGTGATAGAAAAAAAGTACTATATGGATTATTGGGGCAATGGAAGAAATTTACTGGATGACAGATTAAAATGTTGTGCCAATGTTAATTATCCTGAATTTGGTGACTGCACTGTAGTAAAGAAAACAACCTTTTTAATAACAAATATACAATGAAGGGGATGAGGGGTAATGAYGCATATATAGTCATATATCACATAACAAGCTTTCAGTCAATGATGGACCACTTATGATGGAAGATTCATAAGATTATATTGCCTTGTGATATTGTAGCCATCTTAGTACAAGTRTACTTCATGATACTCAGACAATAACAAAATTGGCTAATGATGCATTTCTTTTTTTAATTAAAAAAAWTTTTTTTTAGTTGCAGATGGACACAATACCATTAGTTAGTTATTTTTATGTAGTGCTGAGGATCAAACCCAGTGCTCCACAGAGCTATACCCCTTAGCCCTCTAATTATGCATTTCTCAGTATGTATCCCCATYATTAAGTGATGCATGCCAATCTATTCTCAGACTGTTCAGCAAAATACTAGGGAGGAAGATGTGGCAAAATGTTAAAAATTGGTGAATCTGAATTAAGAGTACAAAGTATATGAGTTCTTTATATTATTCTTGCAACTTTTTTGTAAGCATAAAACTATTTCAAAGTTACAAAAAAGCAATTAGCCAAAAATAACTACTTACATACTTCTTTTTAAGTATGTAAGTCAACATACACACAAAATAAACATATGCTTTCTTCCTAAATTACAGTATTTTAATATAACTTTTAGAAGTAGGATAAGCCTTAGTTTATAAAGTGTAAATTTTTTAATTTTGTTTTTGCAGTGCTACGGGTTGAAACCAGGGCATTATACATGCTAGGGAAGCTGAGCTACATCCCCAAATCTAAATTTTTATTTATTTACAGAAAATATACACACAAAGTCTAAAAGTGTGAAGTTGGAAACCAAAAGCAAGCTCACACTTAGATAAATGTGAACAATTGAACAAAGATTTAATTTTTAAATATCTTCCCAGTTCGAAAATCCTTCTTTTTTAAATAAGTTTTCATATGAAGTCAAGTCCTTGTGATTTAAGGATGGTTTTACAGTCTTAAGTGATTGTAGAAAGTGTTCTTGATTCACAGAGGTTGCTTCCAGTCCATTTTCTTGTAGAGCCAGCAAAGCAGCCTATAAATGACAACCAACAGGAAATTGCTAATTTGCTCATTTTAAAAAAATGAATGATCTACAGTAATACTTTAAAATCTGAATGCAAAACYTCAGTCTCACTTCACAGAATTCCAATATTCATGTCATTAAAAACATTAAGCTAAAAAGTTAAAGGTAATTTAAAAGCCACTGAGTMGACCAGAGTTTCTCCAACATTAAAACTCCAACTTGAAATGGAAAAAAAAAAAAAGCAAGCTGGGGCTGGGGATGTGGCTCAAGCGGTAGCGCGCTTGTCTGGCATGCGTGCGACCCGGGTTGGATCCTCAGCACCACATACCAACAAAGATGTTGTGTCCGCCGAGAACTAAAAAAATAAATATTAAAAATTCTCTTTCTCTCTCTCTCCTCTCTCACTCTCTCTTAAAAAAAAAAAAAAGCAAGCTGCAGAATAATAAATAATGAGTCCATATATATTTATAAAGATAAGACAGTTCTTGATCTTGGAGTAGGAAAGTTTTAAGACTCAGAAATAATAAAAGAAAAGATAAAACACATAGTCTGACCCAGAAATTCTCCTTGTAAATATATATATATATATATATATATATGAAAGACATAACTACACACATGCACCAATAGACTTATACAAAACTTTTCATAGCAGCAGAATTCATAATAGTAAAAAAGTAGAAACCGAGAAGTTCAAAATTTTAAGAAAGGACAAATAAATGAACAATGTTCATATACTAGATTATAAGGCAATGGAAACAAAACAAACTATAGCTACACACAAAACTACAGATGAGTTTCAAACACAATCTTAAGTTAAAGAAGCAGACAGAAAACACTATATACTGTAAGGTTCCATTTGTATAAAGTTCAAGAGCAGGCAACCAGTCTCCAGTGTTTTAAGTCAGGAAAGTGGTTCCCTTTTGGAAGTGCAGGGAACAGAGGTGAAAATGGCCCAAAAGAAAATTTTGGTGTGCTGATAATATTCATTCTATTTCTTGATATGAGTMGTAATTAAAAAGCGTGATCACTTTATATTAATTCCATAAACCATATCCTTATGATCTGTGCTTTCTGAATGTTACATTTAAAGCTGACCTGTAATGTCTTCTGCCTTCAAAATAAAACATAAAGGTCTTGAAGACTTGTAAGGGCCCATATGATCTGATTTCTGTCCATTTCTCCAGATTTATTTCTTGTCTTTCTCCACTCCAAGATTCAGTAATGTCAGGTCATTTCTTTTTTGGGGGGTACTGGGGACTGAACTCAGGGATACTCAACCACTGAGCCACATCCCCAGCCCTATTTTGTATTTTATTTAGAGACAGGATCTCACTGAGTTGCTTAGCGCCTCGATGTTGCTGAGGCTGGCTTTGAACTCATGATCCTCTTGCCTCAGCCTCCCCAGCCACSGCGCCTGGCTCAGGTATCTCTTAACTCTAATCCTCTTCACATTTTATGCCCCCTGCTTCAAATAATTCCCTCCACTTTTAGCTGGCTGACTCCCTGATTAGCTTTTCAACGTCAGTTTACATATCTTCTCTCAAAAGCCTTCCCTGATGTCCCAATTCTAGGCTGATGTCCTTCCTACATGTTCCCATAGCACCTTAGATTTCCTCAACTCTACATCTTTTCAATCTCTGCTCCCTCCCCTAGTAATGTCTATCTACCTTCTAAGGAAAGGGGCCACCCCTGTCTGCTTCCTATTGAATGATATTTGTTACACAGAAGTCTTATAGTTAATGTTTTTGAGTGAATGAAGATTTGAATAGATGATGAAATGTTTTGAACCATACATTGATTACTTCACTAATTAACTTACTTCTTTGCAGAGGTTTCTAAGATCAGCTCCAGAGAAAAAACTGGTTTCTGCTGCTAGGTTTTCTAAGGAAACATCGGGTCCTATTGGCATGGTTTTTGTATAGACTTTTAAAATTGAAAGCCTGCCCTGGAACAAAATAAAAAATCTTATTAACATTTATGTTTGACACAATAATATATTAAAACATTTTGAGTTATCTATCATATATAGATAAAGTGTGTGTGTGTGTGTGTGTGTGGGGGGGAATCAAACAGTAAAAATATATATACATATATCTTTACTTCTGAAGAGTAAGAAAAATTAAGTCTTCAATGGCCCATGTGACCATGGTAAAAATAATCACTCATAAAAAACTTTAATATTTTTATAATATTATAATATTTTATAATTTTAAAGTAGCCAACTGTAGACAGATCTCTTTAAGACATAAGACAAATCTCTCTTGGGTACAAGTAGTAYAACTATAATAATTTAAGATAAAAATATATGAATTGTCAGATAAAMTTTAAAAGTATTACAGACATTTTAATTTTTAAAAAATTTCTTCAGGGATGGGGATGTGACTCAAGCGGTAGCGCGCTCGCCTGGCATGCGTGCGGCCCGGGTTCGATCCTCAGCACCACATACAATCAAAGATGTTGTGTCTGCCGAAAACTAAAAAATAAATATTAAATTCTCTCTCTCTCTCACTCTCTCTTTAAAAAAAAAAAAAAAAAGAAAGAAAAAAAAATTTCTTCAAAACTTGATAAAAGCCCAAGTGTGTGTGTGTGGGGGGGGGGGGATAAAAAACACTTCATTCTGAGTCTTCTGCCATTCCTTGTCAGTGGTTCTAGATGCTAAGGRCAAAGGATTTACTGACTTGACTGTGGATGCATTGCATAAGCTCGGTAATCTAAAATCTCTCCTCTGTGAAATGAGAATGCTGACCCAGATTATCTCCAAAACCCTTTTAACCTCTTTTCAACACTCTAGGATTCCTCCATTCCAGTTGCAAAATAATGTTGAGCAGATTCAGGACTCAGCACCGAGTCTGCCACAACACTACCACCAGGTAACTACCTTACTTTTAGGCTTATCTTTCTCTGAAAGCAGGGCCAGGTATCCACCAAGAGCAGATCAAGATTATGATTTTATGAAGGGCCATCAGGCAAGGAGATACTGAAAGTCCAGTGTGAGGAGGACACTATGTTCAACTATGTTCAGTTTGGAATTCAATTCTGCCAAGCTCTTGGAATGTAGATGTTGATGTGGTGTTCAGAAATGTTCAGAGTAAATATCTACAGTGAGTACCTTCTGATCTGGAGGGGGAATATAGATGATCTTATCCAATCTTCCAGGTCTTAATAAAGCATCATCTAACACATCAGGTCTATTTGTTGCAGCAACAATCATGACATTTTGATTAAAAACTTCTTGAAACTCTGAGGGAAAACATATGACACAAAGTAATACCAATAAATTATTCTCTCTTTTTTTTTCCAAGTTATGCATCAGAAGGTCCATTTGTTTTTAAATAGGGATATCTTTTTCTTTGGACCAGAATGTTTATACCTCCTAACCAGACCACTTTCTTGGTATCAAGGTATTCCAGAAACATATCATCATCAAAGAGCCACTTTGTGTGCAGGAAGAGAGTGGATAGTCCTGAGAAACTGTTTCTCCATGTGAGAACCAAAGAAAAGCCTCATTGCCCTACCTGGTGACCTGAATGTACTTGAACCCTCAATGATTACAACTTAAATGGACTACTTGAAATGACAGAAGCAAATGACTCAGCAAGTAGAAATGTAAGGCTCTGAAAATTCTTGGTTATCTATCCCCAAGGGGATTTACTTTACTTCTTATTTTTCTTTCCAGAGACATAAATAATGACAAATAACCTAAGCTGCATGTAAATCCTGGATGAAGAGAAGAAATGTCTAAAAGCAGAYGAGCAAGGCCTTGTATACAATGATCAATTAAAATTATTTGTTGAACTGAATAATCGGAACTGTTCTTTGGTGATCTAATCCCTCCAAGCAGGGAGTTCCAAGTACTTTAACAGAGGCTGGGTGAATACTTGACAAATACTATATGAGGAATTCCTGTATTCTTAAGATTTGGTTTGATAATCTCATTGGTGCCTTCTAATTAAAAAATTATYTACTAGGGATACTAAATAGAAATCAAACTCTAGCTGGAAAAGAGACTCGGAAAACAATATTTACATTCATATACATCAAAGATAATTATAAAATTTACTTCACATTTCCTCACCAAATCACAATTTCCACCAGCCCTTTAAAAATCTTATTAACATTTATGTTTGACACAGAGTCAAAATGAAATTACATACATCCCTCTAAATAAATCAGCACATGTAAAGCAAGAGCATGGTAAGAATTCTATTTAATGTTGGTCTGGATTTTTTATGTGCTCTGGCTAATAAATACCTCTTCCATTTTTTTCAGCTCCTGGTATTTACCCTGTAGATTTGATTTACTTCCTCTTCTTTCTATTGTCTTAAGTCCCACACCATCTAACTCATTCAGGAGAACGGAAAGAACTCGCTCTTGAACATCACATCCTGTTTTGCTAACTGAGCGAGACCCCAAGATTGAGTCAATTTCATCCAAAAACACAATTGCTGGAGTATTTGCTCTTGCTTGTCGAAATACCTAATGTTGGAGAAAAAAATATTAAAAAGCTAATGTTATACACCATTCATGTGAATGTACATTCTCTGCATTACTACGTTTAACTTTTATTTTTATTTTAAACCCAATACTTTGTGCATGTTAGGCAAGCACCCTACCACTGAGCTCATCCTCAGCCCACTATAATTTTTAAAGTACAAAAAGGAAGATTCTAAATGCCTAAGAAACTGGGAACCAATAAATCAAAGAATAATGGAGTATTATGTAGGACTTTAAAGTCATATTTTGAAAGGATATTTAATATGAAATTTCAAAAGAGATATGTTAAATTAAAAAAGCAGGATAAAGCTGTAGAAAGATAAGACCTGACTTCTATTTTGCTTTAAAAAAAAAAAAAAGACAAAGGCAATTCAACAAAAAGTTAACAGTAGGTAGAGGGATTATAAAAGGTATCTTACTTAAACTGCTCTGTATTTTCTAAATTTTCTATAAACAAACATGTAAAACTTTTATGATTTAAAACACAACTACTAATATTTTTTAAAATAGGGTTTATCTAATAAGATATGAAATAAAAAGATAAAAAGTATACTTAAAGGCATGAGAAAAGTAACAAACCTGAGACAAAACCTTTTCTGAATCTCCAACAAAAGGTGAAAAGAGATCAGCTCCACTCACTGAAACAAAAGAGCAGTGACAGCTTGTGGCCAGGGCCCTCACCAGGGTGGTTTTAGCACATCCAGGGGGCCCATAGAGGAGAAGGCCCTTTGGTTGTGTCAGGCCCATCCTAMTAAAGTCCTGAGGGAATTTCAGAGGCCACTCAATGCTCTGTAAATATGCAAAAAGAGATTAAAAAAATTGTTTTAATATAATAAGAAAACATAAAATAATTCAGTAAATTCATTCAGTTCACTCAGCAATTCTCAGGTATGTGTTATGAGCTGAAATACAGTCTGTTCTCTACATAGTAGCCAAGGATTTTAGAAACTAAGTCAGGTCACATCACTTCCTGCTGAAAGCGCTTCAGTGACTTCTCACAGAACTGGCATAAAATCCAAGTCCAAACTCCTACTTCCACTGTTACAAGGCCTTACATAATCTATCTCCCAAACATCTGGCTTACTCCTGTCTCAGAGCCTTTACTTGCTGTTCTCTCTGACTGAACCTCCCAGAAGATTTCTGTGTGGCTATTCCTCACCATTTGGGTCTCAGTTCAAATCCATTTCCCATGGAGAGGTCTTTTTAACCACCCTAGCCAAAACAGAACCTCTTCCTCATTAYTCTCTATGCTGCTACCTATATTTACTTTTAGAGCACTTATTTGCTAATATTTTTCCATGTTGGGTCTACTGTTCTGTTCTTACTGGAATATAAAAGCAAAGTTCACCCACCCCTAAATCCTCAACACCTAGAATGACCCAGCCCCAAGCAGGCATTAAACAAATGTACCAAATAATCAATGAGTCCTGACTGTCTCTAAGATAAATGGTTTTATTATCATAATTTTACAGATACAGAAACTCAAGCTTAAAGAAGTTAAACTTGGAGCTGGGGTTGTGGCTTAGCGGTAGAGTGCTTGCCTGGCACATGCAAAGCTCTGGGCTCAATCCTTAGCACCACATAAAAACAAATAAAATAAAGGTATTATGTCCACCTACAACTAAATAATAAATAAATCAAGTTATTATGTCCAACTACGACAGAAAGAAAGAAAGAAAGAAAGAAAGAAAGAAAGAAAGAAAGAAAGAAAGAAAGAAAGAAAGAAAATTTAAACTTGCCCACCTCTTATTGCTAGTGATATGGCAGAAACAAGTCTGATGCCAGGAATATAACTCTAGAGCATTCACTCTTGTTCTTAATTACTGATATATAACCACTACAATAAGACAAGACCCCTGAATTCTGAACCTCGTGTACACACATTCTGGTTAGAGAAACAGGATTATTAACTAACAGCCAGAAAAGAGCATTCCAAGGGGAAGGAACACTACAAGATGTGCCTGAAACCATCTAATTTATTCCAACATTAAGCAGGAGCAGTGGAGAGGATGGGAGAAAGCAGAAGCAATGGAGTTAAAGTAGAGGTAGGAGTCAGAACACAAATGAGAGTTTTTAAGTCTACACTAAGAAAGGAGCATGAGAAATGCATTAGAAGGAACTAAAGCTAGAGGTAGGGAGACCAGTTAGAAATTTCTTGCAATGATTTTGTCCACAAAAATTACAAGGCTGGAAATGTCAAAGTAGAAATGGCATGGAAGGGATGGGTATTTGAAACATAAAAAGGAACTATATTTTTGGTTGGGACTCAGTTCTGGCCACTTGCTCTTAGAATACAAGTTCTGACTAAGGGATGGGTAGCTGGCTGCTTTCACTGAGACAGGGAATTCAGTCAGTTAGTAGTTGACTTACTAGATTATGAACACACTGATTTTGAGAGCCATAGGATTATATATAGACAGGCCAGTCAATAGTCCCGATAACCAGAAGAAATGTCTACTGAAATATAGATATTTAGATAGACAGATAGATAGATAGGTAGATAGATAGATTGATTTTTGAATTAACAGGTTTCAAGGGATAGTTGAGACCTTGGACTCACAGATTTCAAAAAGAAGAGCCCAGGAACCTCTTGAAGCAGCATTTAAGGGAGGGGAGAGGAATGCTCAGAAAGATAGGAAAGTTTAACAATCAAGCTAAGGGAAAAGTTTCCAAGAAGATGTGGCTAATTTATCTCATTCATCTTACAAAGATTAAATGAAAWAAAGAGTATGAAAAACCTGGGGCATATTATAAATGCTCTCAATCATGGACTTAAGGATTCCAGTATTTTCTGGTGATACAGCTCCTAGTTAAGATGAATAAATTCTAATTGATACTTATAAGTCAGACTTTCATGTACGTACCTACAGAAAACTAGTTCCTTTAGTCAATACAGGCAAAAGAGAGTTGTATCCTTCATCCATAAGTGAAAATCAGTAACAACTATGCCATACTGACTGTTTATTGCAATTTTGTGTTTTTACCAGTTCCTGTCTTATAGCCATGCAGATCAGAGGTCAGAGGAAACTAATACCCACTGCCCCTATTTTTAAAACCCACAAACTAAAAATAGTTTTAACATTTCTAAATCTTGGGGAAGTCAAAATAAAATAATATTTTGTGAAAATTATGGTTTCAGTGTTCATAAATTTAATCAGAATACAATTATAGTATCTACAGAGGACTAAGTACCAAAATCTAAGGATGCTCAAGTCTCTCATATAAAATGATGTTGACCGGGGTGTGTAGTTTAGTGCTTAGCACTCCAAGACTCTGGGCTCAATCTTCAATACCAAAAAAGAGAAAAAGCATAGTATTTGTATATAATCTACACATCCTCCATGTACTTTAAATCGTCTCTAGATTATTTATAATGCCTAATACAATATAAATGCTATATAGATAAGTGTTATATTGTATTGTTTAGGGAATGAAGACAAGGAAAAAAGCCTGTAAAGTGTTCAGCACAGTTATAATTCCTCCCCCAGAATATTTTTAATAGTGATTTAAATCCACAGGTGCAGAACCTGTGGATAGAGGGCTGACTATACTCATTTATGTGTTGTCTATGGCTRTTTTTGCACTACAGTGATGAAATTGAACGACTGTGACAGATACTGTTTGGCTCACTAACCTTAAAACAAATTGCTATCTGGCTTTTTACAGAAAATCTGTTGAATCCTGTTTTAGATTTTAAATTTGGGGGGATGGGGGTTTGCAGGTATTAAGGATGAACTCAAGGTGCTCTACCACTGAGCCACATCCCCAGTCCTTTTTGTTTTTTATTTTGAGACAGTGTTGAGAGCCACAGCCAAAGGGGCCCCAGCAAACTTCCAGCTGCCGGCTGATGCTGATGATTGGCTCACAGCGGCCCCAGCAACATCTAGCTGATTGGCTCCTCTGCAGTGATGTTCATTGGGCTGTTTCCCTGCCCTTTCAGACCACGGAGCTGCTCATTGGGGGACTTCTTTGGCTCCGCCCACGCGACCCAGCCAATCGGCCTCAAGAGCAGGAGGATTGTGTGAGGTGGTGAGGCTTGGGGAAGCCGGTGGTGGCAATTGGGCTCTGAGGGTTTTTTCCTGAGGAGCTGTTTTGTTTGGCGTTTGTAGTTCTAAAAATAAAGTTAGTTTCTTTTGACAAGTGGCTCCTGAATTGTGCCCAGCAAGACTGCGGCAAGACAGGGTCTTGCTAAATTGCATAGGGATTTGTTAAACTGCTAAGGTTGGCCTTGAATATGTTATCTCATCCCGCCTCAGCATCCTAAGCCACCACACTTAGCTAGATTATAAACTCTTTAAAGAAAAAAACAACAAAAGTAGGGTTGAGGTGGGAAAGTAGAAATTTAATTTGATGTCTGCAAAAGTCCACTTAAACAAAGACAGAAAAGTGATTGTTGGATTTAGGTGTCAAGATCACATTAGTGATCATAGCAAGAGCAATTTCAGTGCAGTCTGTTTTCATTGTAAAAGCACAGAATATTAATCTCTAATATTCTACTAGCTTAAGCAGATTGTTACCTGTTTTAACTTCCGTTTTACATCTTCAAGGCCACCAATCTGCTCCCAATCAATAGGCTTGATGTCCATCAATCCAATAACACTTCGAAATGATGAAGGCTGAATCTTCTTAAAAGCTTCAAGGAAGTCTGTTTCATCAATCAAAGGATTGTCTTGGTTCTGAAGAAATACACACAAAAAAGCAAAATCAAACCAAAAATTAGGTGACCCTTTTTTGTGGTAAACAAGCACAAATCTTTTTAAAAAATACTTTTTGGAATTTGTAAATCTATTTTGTTATCATTATGAAAGAAACTTATACACATAAAACAAAAAAACTGAATGTCTCCCCAATTCCTACTAGTATTCATCCCCAGAGAATGTCAACATTTTCTAGTGTATTTTTTAGTATGTTTAATGACAATAAGCATATGTACATCCTGTTAAACAGATAAGCAAACTGAACCATTATATATTTTTTTCTCTTGAGATTTTTCTCATGTCAATTAATATGATTCTGTTACTCTTTGTGACACATAATACACTATTGAATAAACACATCATAATCATCTTTCTGACAAACATTAGGTTATTCCTAGTCTTGTTATTCAAAAAGAAAAACAAGCTTCAACTGAAAATCTTTATGGTCATATTCAAGTATTTTATATAATAATTTCCTTAAAGTAGAATTATTGAGTTTAAGAGTATGTACATTTACAATTTTGACAGCCATTACCAAACTGTTCTCAAAAGAAAATGCATCAATTTATTCTCCTTTAGTAATATGAAGCTACTGCTCTCCTGCTACCTCTTCAACACTATATATTACCAAACTTTTAAGCTTCTCCCAGTGTGACAGGAAAAAATGGTACTCACCACTGTGAGGGAATGATGAAATCAGTCACCTTTTTTGCAACTTTCATTGTAAAGGCTCTTTTGGCAAGAAAAAGATACTACATCTAGGGATGTCAAAGTCTGATAAAGAGAGGATATTTGCATGCCTTAAAGTATCTCCCCACAAATTTCTCAGTGGCTACACAGTGGAGAAATTTAGAAACCACCTTGATCATTAATCAAAATTAGCATCACCAATGAGGAACCAATGGACATGTATGCCTCCATTTGTGGTACTTTAAAAATATAACATCACTTAATTAGTGTTGCTAACAGAGATGTATACTCAGATTCTGACCATTTAATAAAATAACAGACCTGCATCACTTACGTCAAATGTCTCAGCCAAAAAACCATTGTGAGCTGGAAGTAGTGGTGTACACCTATAATCCCAGAAGCTGAGGCAGGAGGATGATGAGTTTAAAGCCAGACTCAACAGCTTAGCGAAGCCCTAAGCAACTCATCAAGACCCTGTCTCTAAATAAAATTAAAAAATGGGCTGGGGATATGACTCAGTGGTTAAATACCCTGGTACCTTCCCCTCACAGGGAAAAAAAAAAAAAAAATTGTGATTTTTAAAAGACTAAAAAAAATGCAATCTATTACCCTGAACTAGATTCTGTTTGAGAGAAAAAAAATGCTGGAAAGATTGGGAGAATCCAAATGAGACTATGGACTATAGATCTGATAATATTTATATCAATGTTAAATTTCCTGAGAATATTAACTATATATGACTATACTGTGATCATGGCAACATTCTTATTCTTAAGAAACAGATAGTAACATATTAAGGAACAAAAGGTATGCAATCCATTCTCAAATAGTTCCCCTAAATTAAAAAAATAGATGCACAGATACATGCACACACACTCAGAAACTAAAAGTGAAGACTTTTCATGTTTACTGGTACTCCTTTTATTGTCATTTACCTATCTTACTATCCATTTTCTCTTGGATTATTGATCTTAGCTTATTGATTTATAAGAGTTCTTTCTATATCAAGGAAATTGGGATAAAAGTATTTCTCTTAGTTTTGATTGTGTTTTTAGGCCTGTCATTGACCAAAATGTTGCTTATGCAGCACATGACTATAGCTTTTTTAAAAAAACTGTATGGCAATATTAGATATTGGGTACCCAAATACTAATTAATTTTTAGGTAATACCAACATTTGAAAATCTTATTTATAGATCTAGAACACTTGATTCTCATAACCTTTTCAGGCATATAAATTCTTTCCTCTGGGTGTGTATTTAACATTTCTAGTCCTTTAACAGAAATTTTCCACAAAAGTTTAACCATCTTTAACAGATCCCTTGTCTGCCCTGACACAAAGGCAGCAGTAGCCCCTCAGCTGCCTAGTGGGGAAAAGAAGAAAAAGATGGAGCCAGTACCTTCCCAGATGTCTCTGTCCCTTCTTCCTTTTTGCCTTTCTTCCTTCCACTTTCCCTGGGTTGTTTCTGAACTCAGCGGTCAACTGTGGTAACTATGCTTAGATAGGCCCCTCCTGAAGTAGCAGTGGGCTCCACCCTAGGACGACAGCAGCTGACTGGTCCACCTAAGCCAGAGGTGCTTAAGGTCAAACATGGAACTCTAAAGTAGATGAAATTTGAAATGTAAATCTCTCTTCCCATCCCCTGGTATTGTTACCTGTCTCTCAAAGGACATATATTCTCATACCTTTACACATGGGACTTATTAAAACTTTGAGTAGTTTTGGCTACAAACCCGTAAGTTCACATAACTTCTTCCCACATTCAATTCAAGAGTAAAAAAATAACTTCTTCCCACATTCAATTCAAGAGTAAAAATAAAGGAAAAAGAATTAAGAAAGGATATAAATTATTTAGATAAAAAGGTTTCTCAAAATTCAGGTTGATAAATCATCCTTATGTTACAATTGAAGTCAAAAACTCTAAGAATCTTCAGCTTACTGAAATTATTTTTTCCTGAAGAGATTAGAAAACATACTTACCACCTTTTTTGAACTCCAAAATTAATTTATTATATTAATAAAAAGATTAACGTGGAGGGTAATCAATATTTCTTACCTTCTCACTGTGAAGGAGAGCGTGCATGGCCGCCTCCCTACAGAGTGCTGTCAGGTCGGCACYAACATAGCCAACTGTCATTTCTGCAAGGAGACCCAAATTGGCATGACTGGAGATGGGCATCTTTGAGGTAATAACCTGTAGAATTTCCCTTCTTTGTTTAAGTGTGGGAGTCCCGATGATAACCTAAAGACAATACAAAAACAAAAAAATTAACTTTACAGCTTCAATTTTTTTTTTATCTTCACCAACTTGTACAATAATAAGCTAAAAGTGTGCAATTATTATTCCACTTTAGAGTCTAATACAGAASTGAAATACTACATAATTCCTAAGCTTCAAACTTCTTTGGTAGTGTCCTGGGATTGAACCCAGAGGTGCTTAACCACTGAGCCATATCCTCAGCCCTTTTTTATAATTTTATTTAGAGACAGGATCTCGCTGATTTGCTTAGAGCTTCTCTGAGTTGCTGAGGCTGTCTTTGAACCCATGATTCTCCTGCCTCCCGAGCTGCTGGGATTAAAGACATGAATCACCTTGCCTAGCTAGATATTTAACCTTAATGGCAACTCAAGGAGCAAATGTACACTGTATACTGGTGTCCTGATAAGGAATGAATAAATCCCAATGAATTTATGCCTGCTTTGATTTAGGTCTTTTTTGCCTTTACCCTTTTTATTTCAACACACTTTTGAAGTTATCCTGCCTGTAGGTTGTCCTTTCAAATGTACTAGCGTTTAATACTTTCGTAGCAGAYCTAGTTCCCTTAAGAATTAACATTGCCGATTATAGTACTGATCTTCAGGAACAGTACAGCAAAAATAACCCCAAATGGATTCTGGACAAAACAGGTCCTGACTCACAGATTACTTAAGGGCTCATTACAAGACGTCCCAGTCGAGCCTCTGACTCCCAAACCTAAGAGGCAAACGCTTCAAAGCACCCAACCAGGCAGGGCAAGAAGAGGCCAGAGTTCTAGGGACAAAAGGGCTAACCGGTCCCGCCTGCTCACCTCTCGGTCAAATCTCCCGGGTCTGCGAAGTGCTGGGTCTAGCGCGTCTGGCCTATTGGTGGCTCCCACCACAACCACCTCGCGGTCCCCGCAGACGCCGTCCAGGAGCGTCAACACCTGGGCCACCACGCGGCTCTCGGGGGTCCGGTGTGCGCCGCCCCTCCGCGGACATAGGGCGTCCACCTCGTCCAGGAAAAGCAGGCTAGGCCCTCGGCTGGCCAGCTCCCGGGCGCGCTGAAAGACCCGCCGMACGTTCTCCTCCGTCTCCCCAGGCCGGGAGCCCTGCAGCGCCGGAGCACTCACCGCCAGCAGCTCTGCGCCCGCTTCCCGGGCCACCGCCCGCACCAGCTGGGTCTTGCCCACTCCGGGAGGACCCACCAGGAGCACCCCACGGGGCACAGCTAGCCCCAGCGCGGCCAGGGTGCTGGGGTAGCGGAGCGGCAGGCGGAGGAGCTCCCGCAGCGAGTCGGCCGCCTCCGAAAGGCCCCCTAGGGACACCTCGGGCTGTGGCGCCGCCGCTGACGGAGGCTCCCGGCAGAGAGCGATGCAGGTTCGAGGGGTGACAAGCCCCGCTGGATCCGGGTTGGGTGTCCCGCCGATGATGTGCAGGGCGGTCAGAGGACCTGGGTCGCCCGGCGGAGCGGCCACCACATGGCCCTGGGAGACCGGTCGGTTCCTCAGCAGCTCCTGCGCGGCCTCCAGCACCGCGGCTGGACTCGGGGCACTCGGCGCGCCTGCGGGCATTCGCAACACTGGCCACACAGAGAGGCGCCGCAGGGGCGGGCAGGGTACCAGGCTGAGGCGGCTCAGGCTGAGAGTCCCCGGGGAACCCCGCTCCCCCACCGCCGCCCCGGGACTTGCGCACTGCAGGTCCAGCTGCACAAAACCATCAGCTCCATCCCGCCGCGGCCAGGCAGTGCAGAGGCAGGAGCCGCCTTCGGGCAGCAAGATCCTCACTTTCGAGCCCACACGCGCACCCAAGGTGCGGAAGGCAGCAGGACCCAGGCGACAGCGCTGGGTGCCCCGGTCCCTAGCATCTACAGGTAGCAGCTTTAAGAGGGGCCTTTCAGGGAAGGGACCTGAGTCCGGGACCATGGCACGTGGAAAACTCAGTCCTAGGAAGCTGGAGCAGGAACTCCTTCCGGACGGAAAGGCCAAACACACCGCGCTCCCGGACCGGAAGCAAGCTGCGCGCATGCGCTAAGGATGATGTTCAGTAGCTAGCGGTTGAGTGAAGATATCAAGGAAAAAGAGACAACGTCTGAGCTCTGGGGAATTTTTGGTCCAGTTTGATGAGGTTGAGCAGCCCAGAGCTTTATGGAGGTGGTGTTTACAGGTGCCTGGGAGGCAACGTAAGCTAACCATTAAGTATGGCCGTGGTACCTTGGGAGTCACCAGCATTGCATGTTCTTTTTCCTGGCCCTGGGACCGCGGCATTACTGAGTAGGACAGGAGAGGCTGGACACCCGAGAAATTTTCAGGAAGCAGGTTTATTGACTGCAGGGTTCAGAGGTGGCGCTTGCCTAAGAATTCTTCCTCTGATCAAAGATATGGAAATTCTTTTAACATTATACTCAGTGGGAGGGGAGCACTTGGAGGCTCACATGACAAGTACTTTCTGTTCCTCTAGACCAGACACACAGGTTTCACAAGTTTGTTTGTTTTACCAAGAAAACAAGAGATAATTTTAGCAAGAGATAATATATTCTGTACAAGCTTACAAACTAACTCTGTCACACCTTTTGTGCGCAAACCTGGCGTTTATAGGAAGGAGGAAACTATCAATCACAATAACTTCTGTAGACATGTTGCTGATTTGACAAGAGGRGAAGCTTAATTATGGCAAGGGTCTTTGGAGTGAGGGTACCTGGTCTGCTTCATTACTATTGCCGCTATTGGAGTATCAGCCTACAGACTCGTTTTTGTTTTTTTTTTGTAAAGAAACTCCCAACTGTCCCCCATGGGAACAGTATTTAGGGGGTGTCATATTGCTTATGTCTTAGGTAACTCGGATTAGCTGAGTTAACAACCTTGGCACCTTCCATAACCGAAATTCTAACCTGTTGGGGTGGTCCAGCCTTTCTATAGAAAAGCACCAAGGAGAGGAGCACAGTGTGACATTTAAAATCCCTTGGAGAGSGGAAAGAAGGAAAGCTAGGCTATCCGATGTATTGGTAGCATACTAATACATTCGTTCCGATTCCTGATTTACTCCTTTGAATGTTCTTTGGCATTAAAAGGCTRTTTGGGACATAGCACTACTAAGTCTTGTACTGAATTAGAGACTATACCTGTCTAYATTATTAAAACAACTGCCTACTCTTCTTTTTCCACCTACTTTCTGCGTTTTCGAAAGTAATTACTCTTTTCAGCTGAAATTCATTTCCTATCCCTTTTAATTTTCATTAAAAGAGATGACATATTTAAAGGCAAGAAGCTATGCCATTTTTTTTTTTAACCAGGGATTCAACCCAGGGGTGCTTTAACCACTAAGCCACATCCCCACCCCTTTTTATTTTGTATTTTGTATTTTTCTTATTAAGTTGCTTAGGGCCTTGCTAAATTGATGAGGATGGCTTTGAACTTGTTATCCTCCTGCCTTGATCTCCCAAACCTCTGGGATTACAGGAGTGTGCCACCATGCCTGGCAATATGCCTTGTTTTTAATCCTGCTCACATTTTCCTACCTCTATTTTTCTCACCTTCACTGAAACCCAAATTTGTGAAATAACAAAACTGATTGCAAACAGAATGCCTAAATGGCTGGGATGCAGTTATATAGTTTCTATTGCAAATAATCCGAGATTGTATATTATCAAATCAATGGAAAGTTTTCTTGGATCTGGGACCAATGCTAATTCCTGGTCTCATTCTATCTAAACTTAATAGCAAACAGTATGAAAGACTTCTAGACTCTACTGTAACTTATCTCTTTTTTACTTCCCCAACTCCAGTGTTAGAACAACTTAAAATGCACCCCAAAAATAGCACAAATAGCAGGAGGAGGTCCAGAAATGGGTAATTCTTACATTCCTTTAATTTCATTAGCCTCTGTCCTCTTTGGCCTTCAGACTCCGCTCTCCCCACCCCATTCCCCACCAACATACACTGGGGATTGAACCCAGGGATGCTCTTCTACCACTGACCCCAATCCTTTTTATTTTTTTATTTTGGAATACGGTCTTGCTAAACTTCTGAGGCTAACCTGGAACTAGCTATAATCCTTCAGCCTCAGCCTCCCAAGTTACTGGRATTACAGGTGTGTGCCACAGTACCCCAGCTGCTTTCAGGCTTTTCAATAATTGTCTTGCATATTCTCAAAAAAACCATTTTCCTGACCCCTAAAGATGTGAGTAAAATGCCTATTAAGTTATTCATCATGATGCCTGTACCTCAATGAAAATTCTTTAATTCCAGTTCCAAGTAAATATGAGGATCTAGGAAAGAGAATGAAGACTTAATAAGGACATGATAACTGTCTTAAGTATGTAAAGGGCTGTCATGTAAAAGATTCAGCATATTTAGGAATATCTATAATATAGAAGAACCAGGAAATGAAGGATCAGTGGAATGAACTTAAGATATTTCTCTACTTGTATTTTGAGTATGGGCATATGGAAGATACAGTTAAGGGACATGACTGAAGCCAATTTAGGGGAGCAAACATAAGAAGGCAAATAAAGTTAACCTTAGCGTTTTCTGAAATTAGGAATATGATGTGAAGAAAACTGCATGTTGTTTGTGTTAATCTGATGGGTTGGTTTTCTTTCTTTTTTTAATTTCTAATTTTTAAAGAGAGAGAGAGAGAGAATTTTTAACATTTATTTTTTAGTTTTCGGCAGACACAACATCTTTGTTTGTATGTGGTGCTGAGGATCAAACCCAGGCCGCACGCATGCCAGGCGAGYGTGCTACCATTTGAGCCACATCCCCAGCCCATGGGTTGGTTTTCATACAGGTCAAACTAGAATCCTCTGCCCTTGTAGGACCCATATAGCCAGGAAATGTTCACTTCACCCTCCCTGAAAAGGTGAGTCCTCACCTTAAGTCTCAAACAAAATCAACAAGGGATCCTGTTCCTGGACCTTTAACTCTTATCGATCCTTTCTGTTCCTTTGGGTCAGACCTTTTTCCAACACTATTATTTCAACCATCTGTGAATTCATATTTATAATATCATTAAATTATTTAATCTTCTTTGGGAAAAGCATTCTAATAGGAGTTGAGTGGTTCTTTTGCTTATTTGAAATTTTTCAAGATYATCCCAAATTTGGCATCAATTAGTGCACAAAAATGTTGAGCCACTAGAGGGAGTCCAGAACCATTTAAACCTGAAGTCTGCAGGATTGTCTGGAGATTGAAAAATGTTCTTAACTGTGAATTCCACTAGGTTTTGCTCAGAATTGCCAGATATAAAAAACATCCTATTGTCTCTATATAGTATCTTAGTCTGCCCTGGCTGCTATAACAAAATACCATAAGCTGGGTAGGTTATAAACAACAGCAATTTATTCCTTATGGTTCTGGAGATTAGGAAGTCAAAGATCAGTATACTGACAGATTTGGTGTCTGGTAGGCATCTACTGTCTGTTTATAGACAGCACCTAGTTGCTGTATCTTCACATGGAAGAAAGGAGTAGCTAGTTCTCCAGCTTCCTTTTTTAGAGGGCTAATCTCATTCAGGAGAGCTCTACTCTCATGGCCTAAACACTTCCCAAAGGCCCACCTACTAATACCATCATCTTGAGAGTGAGAATTTCAACATTAGATATGTGTGGTGGGTACAAACATTAGAATTACAGCAGTAACTGACTTATTCTTACACAATTTCTGCATGTCGCAGCCCATGGAAATCCCAGTTTCCAAGCTAAAACTTAATTTCTCTATTAAATTTAAAAACAAGACTCTCCTCAGATCCAAAATTTAGTGGTGGATCAAAATCCAGACAAACTAAATTTATCTTGCTATAGCCTAGAAACATTTCTAGGTTTAAATTGTTTCAAACAGGTTTATTATACAAAATATTTCCTGAGATTTTTCTAAAGTGATACRTGTAAGAAATAGTTTCTCTTGATTTCCATTGCTACATTCAAAGTTACAATTTGTCAGTCCATGGTGGGATTATCTGTTAATTTCAGTGACTGGTGAAGCCAAGATAGGAGAATCACAAGTTTGAGACCAGCCTGGGCACTTAGTGCGACCTTGCCTCAAAATACAAAATAAAAAGGGCTGGGGCTGGGGGCTGGGGTTGTGGCTCAGTGGTAGAGTACTTGCTTCATATGTGTGAGACATTTGGTTCTATTCTCAGCAACACATATAAATAAATAAAATATATAAATATAAATAAATAAAATAAAGGTCCATCAACAATTTAAAAAATGTTTTTAAAAGGTCTGGAGGGCTGGGGATGTGGCTCAAGCGGTAGCACATTTGCCTGGCATGCTCGGGGCACTGGGTTTGATCCTCAGCACCACATAAAAATAAAGATGTTATGTCCACCGAAAAACTAAAAACTAAATATTAAAAAATTCTCTCTCTCTCTCTCTCTCTCTCTCTTTAAAAATAAAATAAAATAAAAAAAATAAAAAGGGCTGGAGATGTAACTCAGTGCCAAAGCACTCTTGGGTTTGAGCTCCTGTACCAAAAAATAGTAACTATTTTTAAAAACCACACACAATAGTTAAACGTAGTGTAATAATTAATTTAATTGATAAAAATCTCAATTAATATACCTAGAATTCAGAAGAAGTAATTGGAACTTGTTTATTTTTAGGATAATGATTGTACATGAATTTTGTACCTTTAGCATCAATAATAATATATGTTAAATATATTTCACTACATGAAACATACCATAACTATGAAAAAGCTAAAGAAAATAGCTAAGTCATCTGTAGAAGAATGGATACTAATCTTTTCTGTTTTTCCATTTTCATGTTATATTTAKCCCTAATATACTTGAACATTAGCAATGATTATAAATTATAATAGATGAATATAAAGATCCATTTAACCACACTGGAAAAAGCATGATTTGCAAATGTTTTAATCTCAACATGTTCACGCTGATTTGTCAAGTGGCCTCATGTGCCAAACAGATGATCTTTTTTTTTTCCCCCCTAAAACTCGGGATTAAACCCAGTGACACTCTACCACTGAGCTATATCCCCAGCCTTTTTAAATCTTTTAGTTTGAGACAGGATTTTGCTAAATTGCCAACGCTAACCTCAAACTTTTGATCCTCTTGCCTCAGCCTCCTAACTGGGATTTCCTTTTCTTTAATAAGATACAACATCTTTTGACATGTCCTTATCTTAAGATATGTAATGAAACCCCCCCCAACATATGACATGATTAAAATTCTTCTTTAGAATTTCTGTCTTTATTCTTTCTCATATATCTAGGCTAGATTAAGAAAATATGGAGTTGGGAAGGTAGGGAATGAAAATATTTGCAGGACTACAAAAGATTCGCAGGCTCTAGGTGACAGAATTCATTCTGAAAGTTTTTTTTTTTTTTTTTAGGTTTTCAGGAAATTACTTGATTCATCTTTTTTTCAATGCTAGGGATCAAACCCAGGGCCTCATGAATACTAAGCAAGTGCTCTACCACTGAGCCACATCCTCAGCCCTAAAAGTTAATTTTAAGATAGTTTTTTTTCTCTATGATGTTGGTTCAC